CGGAATACATCTGAACAAGCCAAATCTGTGTGTTCAAAAGAAATTTTTACAGCCCCTTTCTTTGCCATGGCTATTTGCTTAATATGTACTAAGTTCTTAATGGCCATTTTCCCTCTCCTCTTGTAGCCATATCTCTTAACTGTGTTAATTTTAGAATTCTAGCCAATTCTACTACCTTGTTTGTATATTACGCGTAATTCGGTTTAGTCATCATTATTTTACAAATGTCTTGATTATGATATAGTAAGTTGTTGCTAACCCCTACGAAGTAATTGATTTTGAATTACGTAATTATGTTTCCTTCCCCCTCAATATTTAGATATATTGTTGCTTTTTTTTAATTCCTTTACGTTCCTAGTGGAACATAGGGATTCGAGCTAGTGCGTTGAAATTTCGGCAGCATTAATGTTTATTTTTTACGGGATAGGGTTGCTATCCTCATGGCAGAGGAAAAATAGCAAACAATGCTAAATCATGATGCCAAACCTGCGGTCTAATTAATCGACAGGAAATTCTAAAATTGAATTAAATAATTAATATGACCAATCGCAAAGGAGTTTCTCTCGTGGCGCTAGTGGATAACGCTTTGGCGTTTCAAACTATGGGCACTGAGAACATCATCACTCACTACGTAATGCAAGTACATCCAGGCGGCGAGTCCCAAATAGGATGAAACGCGCATATTGTAGGTTCCCGTGCTAGTCACCATCCATCAATTAACTGAAAGGATTTACTCTTTAAACATAAGTAAATCAATGACTAAAACGTTTAAAGCTTCTCTAATCTGAAAACCACACATCATTTAAGGTAATGACTAGTGCACTGTCAATTGCTGTCTCACAGGACACCAATATCTTCATAAAACCTCTTACTATAATATCGCATATCATTCTGTCGATATGCAGCATCGCTTCCTTGTTACGTATCTATATTCTGAGAGATTTTTTCTTCACGTTAATCTACTGTACTTGTTGCCTGACGTGTTTATATTATTTTGTTGGTTATCATATCCATGGCGTTTTACCCTTTGGTGTAGAAACTAATATTTATTACAAGCCATACATGAGGTTGTCTTCTGCTGTTCTACCTACTTACATTAGCCTACAGAGCTACAAACGGAATTCCGCACTTAAACCTGAACTACAGATAAGATGTTATTTCTTTGGAACAGACTATTTTTTAGTCAAAGATGAATCCCAAGAGACGCAATCATTACATATATTTCAAACACAGAATTTGTATCTTAAGGAACAATTTACTGGACAGTGATGTTGCCAATAGTAAATAATGATTAATTATCGCCTGAAGTGTGCACCGTTTCGTTCCATTCTAATTTGTTACATTAAAACATAGTACGTCTGCATTTTGGTCCACTTCTTTGCTGTCCTTCTTAGCTGACTCAATAATCGCCCTTAGTCTCTCATACCCACCTCACACGACTCTGTGGTCGTCCTTCATTTGATGATTTCCTGAATTACATGCTTTGTAATTCGACAGTCTCCTTAGCGTGTAGCCTGTCAGTCTCCATATTCTTTAAAGCATTTCTTGAGCGGTAGGTTATCGGTTGGTTCATTCTCAGAGTTTGTTACTCTTAATTCATTCCTGCTAGTCACTTGGTCTTGTTCTATGCGACATTGTCTCATAATGAATTCTTGTATCCAATCAAATCCATGCAAACCGACACTTGAATACCATGCTAGGTTATTATGCTGTGATAGCTGCTGTACATAGCTAGGATTATTTTGCAATAGTATTAGCGTATCTGGCAATATTAAATTCATATTTTGTTCTAGTACTACTACACAAGTAGTCACTTTATTGCCTTTCATATATGTTATGCAATTTTACGGTATTTCCCTTTTTTGTATAGGTGCTACCTAATTTATTCGGTGGGCATTGGGGCGTTTCAAAAACAGGCATAAATATACCTGCATGATTTCATGAAATTTTAGGAGTACATGTTTCATTTTTGAATTTACTTCCTCCTACAATCCATTACATTGCGGAGATATATCATTATAGAGAAACATTTCCTGATGAAAGTGGTACAAATGTAATGCAGTTCAAGAATATAATACCGCCAATAATATATAAATATATATTATACATATAAATAATATATATACTTAAAATACGTGCAAAAATTACTATTCGTCATTAAACCAGTATAGCACCGAACCAGGACGCTACAATTTCCGGGAATATAGTATAAATAGCTCAGTGGTAACGTCTCTCACTGCAGCACTGGATGACGCGGGTTCGAATCTCAGAAGGGACATGAGTTCCTTCAAGGTTGCAGATACGGCTTGCTGACGAGTGCCAACTAGCACGAAACATAGGTCCAAGGCTTCCTGTGGCCGATTGCCTCCAACCATCTAACACCATCAAATCAATGTGCACCGTGATGGCAAGCTAGCTAGAATGGTGGTCACATTACAACCTGACTGATAGAATTCAGTCTACACCAATCAGAGGACTAGACGCATCACACTAGTTACTAGTGTCAAATCAAGATATAGTATAAAGCCACTCATAATTTCTCTTATCGACTTTTGCTACTTACAATGCATTTAAGTAAACAGTTTATATGTGCGGAAAATAAATTGTCTCATAAACAGTATAATTAAAGGCACCTTACAATTTCAAGGATAAATTATTGTTTATCACTGATTCCATCACTTCCCAGTAGATAACAGATATTAAGCGTCACACCTCAGTTCTATACCATAACCTTCGAATGACTACATCACTCCCCTTAATAATCTGGCACTATCTGTTCACATGATCTCCTTGTCACCCTACTCGTGGTTTCCTAATCAGCTCGTACTCGAATGGACTAAGTTGATGTGGTGTTCAGCCTGGTCGATTTTTCCTAACTCAATAAGTATGACACGAACTGTTTGTTTAACAAACACAGTAGTCAAGAAATTGGAAGGCAAGTAGATTTTTGATTCATGTGGTCATTAGTGTGTTAGACAAGTTCAGCACCAATGAATGAATATGCTTTAACTACCTGACTCGCAATTTCGGACTCCACACAATAATGCAAGTCCTGACGTGGATCAATGAAGGCTGAATTCTAACTAGTCAGGTGGTAAGTTTTACATTATATGAAATGTGGTCGCTTGTTAAATGAACACTCAACTAATTTTCTCCTCATTCAGTAACAATTTTAACCTTATTGGATTCCTAACGTGCGTCGGTGGCACGGCTGTACAGCGCTCGCCGACCACACCTCATGTGGTCCGTCGTTCGATTCTCTTCCACCGACGTTCTCCTCTACCTCGCTAAGCCGGTAGTAATACTGGTAAAGAGGGAAGGATAGGCATGAGGCTAGCAACTCCATCCTGTAAAAATAGTCACCACTGCTACCGAAACTTCAGGACTGTAGCTTGAAGCCCTGGGAACGTAAAAGATTACAAAAATTCCTGACACTTCCTTACTTTGTGCCATTGAGTATTACTTTATTTAGAACTTATATTTTCACTTTCGAAGTTAGTTTTGAGTAGTTTTACCACCCCCACTCCGTGATACTCACTGATGGACTACCATACATTTTTGGTAAATATAAATACTATTGTTCAGCCTCTGAAGATGATTTCGTCGATAAGAAAAATTTTCTTCAGCCTATAAAATCTTTGACATTGGGTCTGACAACTTATCCACTTATCCACTTGGGGAGGCAGGTATAGAATGCGTTGTTGAAGTCCTTGGGATTCAAAGAAATAATGCCTGAAGATTATTCATTCTCACTTGTGGTCTCTTATGATTTTATCAGACGCTCTTATTCTTCCATGTTATTCTACCTTCTCTGACACACTTTTGCTTTTTATAAATCCTTTGAATGTATAGAACATAGAACGTGGCAACTTGAAATGATGTTCTTCTCTACAGAGTTCTAGGTGAAACTCAGTCAGACAATCAAGAAGATGGAATTCATCGGCCATTGGATCGAATCCCACTAACTGATGAATGGTCTACGAGCTCGTTTGCCTTGTAACCGGAAGGTCCTGGACTCGAACCCCAGTGGGTGCGTACCGTTGAAGAGTCCCAAACTGGGACAAAACAGCTGTCCAGTACTCCCTACAGGTTTTCCAATGACTCTCTAACCGATGCCAGCTCATGATGAAATGCTCTAACCAATCAATCAAATCGCTACAAACCAATAGTTGAAAATCAAAACATCTTTTTCTAAAAACATAACATTCAACGTTGTTGTTGTTATTATTATTATTGATTTAAAATGCTATTTTATTTTAGTAAAAGTAGTCAAAATGATGAACAAAGCCAACAAAGGTTATTTTTAAGAAGTTTATTTATTTATTTCGGTTGTGTGTTAACAAAAGTTCACACAATTATTTCCTTAACTAACACAATGATAATTCGATGAAGTTAAACAGTAATCATTGTAACTAACCATTGAATCATTGAACATTTACATGAAAAGTGTTTTAATAGACCAAAACACTATAAAATTAAATGATCAAAGTACAAAATGCAATACATCTGATGTAAGCAAAGTACCAGTCTTGATTAAAATACTTTCCACTTGGAAAAAGGAAGTGTCTATTGAAGTCGTGTCAGTTGGTTCAATGCGAAATACGAAGTTATGAAACTTTAAGGAGAAAATGTGGAAAAAAATCTAGTTTTTGTGCGAAATATTTATCGTTAATACATAAAGGATAATTTTGAAACAGTGGTTCACGCCTTGCAGTTATCCATTCCATTTGTGGTTTTGTCGTCTCTGATTCGCTTAACCTCATCAGTAGTTGATTGAAATATTGACGAAAGGTTTAAAAAATTAATCGATTGTACACAAGTAAAATAAGTAAGTTCGTAAGAATATTAGTAATTGGATTATAGTAGTTAATTTACACAGACTACTTATGTGTATGTATTATAATAAAATGACACAAATATGAGTTAACCTGCTTCAATGATGCTTTGTACGGTAATTGAAGGAATCAAAGGAACAACAGGTGACCTGTTTACCTTCTTCTTCATCCTGGTTCTAAGATACTCTTGATTTCTTCAGGTGATCTTCTTTCAGGATATAAGCGAGGAAATTTATTTAGCTTCAACCCTTGAATATTGAAGCTGAGCTGTCTTTTAATTTCTACACTTTGTTTTTTTCGGGAGTTAATTCTACAAATATCCGAATAAAATGCAAAAATATATCAAGGATGGATAATTTAATTGAAAGAATATTTAGCACGCATGAATGATGAAAGAAGCCATTATTAATGTTTTCTTTTCTCGTAGATGGTGGATGTCATTAATACTGTGGTGAGACCTGACTGCTAGCCGAAGTCGGTAGACAGTAATTTACGTCAATGATTATGTCCCAATATTGATCGTGAGAAAAATAAGAACAAAGACTTTGCGTAGGCGGATACAGTTAGCATATAGATGATCTGTTGCCTGATTCTTGCCTTCTTTTGTTACAGTTAGTGTCGCTGACTACCGACAAATGGAAAGCCTATGACCTGCAGTTTTTGATGGAGACATATGGATCTTTGGGCAGGACTTCGAGGCTTCTGCGCAGTTGAGTGGCGTCCAAGATCTGTCAGCGATGAGGCTGCTACTTGGGACGCTGCTGCGAGGTTGGGCGAAAGCAACATATGAAAGTGTGAGGCGAATTACAGACGAATGTTCGACAGGGTCAGGCAAACAGTTTCCAAAGTTGGAAGGACCACATATGGTCACTTCGAGATGGGGTTACGCAGACACAATCGCAATGGCAAACAAAGAGAAACAGGTGGACATCAGTGAGTGCCGACATTCCAGACAGCAACACAAACCAGCAAATCCCCTAGAACCAAGAAGACCGAACCAACTTCAGTCGCAGGTCTTTGACAGGGGGACAAGTGTGGTGAGAGCTGGCTGTTAGTCAAAATTGGTGGACGGTAATTCACATCAATGTTTATGTCCCAATATTGGTCATGAGAAAAATGAGAACAAAGGCTTGTGTAGGCGGATACAGGTAGCATATAGGTGATCTGTTGCCTGACTCTTGCCATCTGTTGTTACATTACGAGATCTTCATAAGCTGAAGTTATTGGTGAAGACGACATTCTCTACTGCTAAGCCCTAAACTAGAAGTGTACTACTGACAAGATTTACCAGTAGTATATATGGGGACATTCTTTGTCACAAAAATACCAAGTAGTAGACGGATAGACTTCGCTTCAAAGAGAATAAAAGAACCACTGCTGCAGCAAAACATGGGGGACGCGAAAAGAAGGCAGAGAAACACAGGAGGAAGGGCAGAAGTAGCACAGCACTGAACGTCTGTAGAAATGATGATTTGGAGATAAGGTGTACATAATTTCCGTACATAGAGATATTTAATTCGAAATAAACATACCTTATCGAGTCTTTCATATTCTATCGTTACAATTGGTGTCACTGCCTACAGACAATGAAGATCCTATGGCCGGCTGTTTACGGAGAAGAAAACATTAGGAGCTTCTACCGTCGATGATCCGATAGCGAAGGCGGTTGTGCTAGGGAAGCTGCTGAAAGATCATACAAAGGCTGTGTATGACAGTGTGAGTGGTCAGGTGAGAAGGAGACTTGGAATGTATAGGTTGGACTGTTGGTGGCAGAGTTCGACAGCCCGTCAATTAGTCAACTGGCGATGCAGCATTTCCGTGCTGCGAAGCTGGGAATGGACAGAGACCAACTAGTGTTGGAGGTGAAGCTGACGGATCTGCTACATTGTGCACTTCTCACATTGGATGAAGAGTGGGAGTTACAACTACTGGCATCCCGGTTCATCGAGTTTCCAGATCACATTTCTCAGCAACTAAAACTGATTAGCGCTGCACAACTCATGGAAATCGTGAGCTAGTGAAGGTGACCAGACAGCTGTTAAGCATAACAGAAGCCGCAATAAAGACACCGAAGTCAAACGAATAGGAACAGAAATCTGAAGATTTGAAGTGTGAATTAGCGAAGCTATGAATGAGTGCCATGAAATACCAATACTTTGAATGAGGTAATACAACTGAATATGTTTGTGCATAGTTGACAAAGTTATATTAAACAAGTCAAATGTAGATTAAGACCTGATCCATTCAGTAACGAAACCGAAGGTTTAATAAATCAACTGATTCAGATCATGAGATATCCCCTGTAGGACTTGATTTACTTGTAAAAATTTACAACCGTTATTAGTGTTGAAACATTTACATCAGCGGTTGAGCAGTAGAATATCCTTCATTGATATATGTGGTTCTAGGTTAGACTCCCATCCAAGGAGCTCTTACACATCACCTAGATTACTATTTGATGTTAATCCCTAAGAAAAACAAGAGTTGTACATGAGGCTAGTGGCTTCGCTCCATAAATGCAACACAGCCACTAGTGAGATTTCAAAAACACTGATAGTGAGTACTCAAGGAGTGGAAAAAACTTCATCGGTTGAATCAGTGTGAAGTTTTATATTATAAGTATGTCTAAACTCGTCTTCATTTCTTATAGCTTATCTGTGATTAGGGACATATACTGTTGGTCATTTAATCGTTGCGCTGAAATCTGTAAGTGCTAATCAAATCTTGTACCTATTAAACCAAATAAAATGGTTTCATAATATACTCTGATAGAAATCCATAGAATTGTAGAACACTTAAACAACTAATACGCATGCTCTTCTCGTCAACGACGTCGTTACAAATATGGCTGATGTAGTTTTAACTTCGACATAACTTCAGGAAAGATCGATTATGGTTAAGAGTTTATTTTGATAAATCACACACAGCGTTGTACAGTTATATTAACTGATGATGTGAAGTGTCTAACAAACCGAGTCATAGCACTAAGCAGCACAATAAAAGACCTAACTGACGAAATAAAACAGATGGAAGAACCGTTGGTGTTGAATAACTATCCTATTAAATTTATTTGGAAGATCAATAAAGGTCAAAAACAAAATAAAAATAATTGTGAAACTAGTAATGATAACATAAATAAGAGAGAATATAAGTCATCCACTGTTATACCATATAAGGAGGGGACATCTGAGGCCCTATGTAGGATTCCTAATAAAGCAGGAATTAGGGTGGCATTCAAACCCCCTACAAACTCACTCAGAGACAAGCTCTGTAGAATAAAGGACCCGGTGGACCCAATTAAACAAAATAATATAGTTTACGAAATACCCTACAATGACTGTGAGGTCAACTACATAGGTCAAAGTAGTAGGTCAGGGAAAGTCAGGTTATTGGAACATAAGAATTTAGCTAAGGGAAGAATGGTTGACCCTGAAAAGATAAGTAATTTAGAAACAAGCTCATCTATTGAACTTTCCACATTAACAAACAACCACACAATAGATCGGGATAGGGTTAAAATTCTAAAAAGTAATATAGGTAGGTGGAGAGAGAGGTTGATTATGGAATCCTTATTCATCGAGACTACACCCAACACATGCAAAAGAAATTACTCAATGCAAATACCAGAAATATGGAAGATATTATTACCGCCGGTCAAATCAGAAGAGGATAATAAATAATCATAAAATTCTATTTCAATTCAAACACATCACAACATTCTAACAAGTAGCCTATTATGACTGTAAAAACACTCGTCTTATTTCCCATCTGATTGTAATTGATCAATAACACTCGTATTATTATTATTATTTCTGAATGTACATTATCCTATATTGATTTTTATTCAAATATCTAGTCAATTCCACATATGTATATAAATGAAGTAAAAAGTTGGGTGAGTAAGTTGACATGATTATGAGTGGCAATAGTTTGTGCTCGAAACGTGGTCATCAGTTAATATAACTGTACAACACTGTGTGATTTATCAAAATAAAATCTTATCTATAATGGAGTTATACTCTACCACAGTACCCAAGTTTTATACAAATATCAATTCAGGAAAGATCATTTATTAATTAATTCAATCTGGACTTTTTTGTTTATTGATTGGACTGAAGTACCGGACCTCAGATTGAGATGTTGTTTCAATCGATCAACGCGAAAGTCCAAACTGAATTAAATAACTGCTGACACTCGTCACCTAAGCAATCTAGTGGGTAAGGCTTTGACATCTGAAACTATGCGTAACGGGTTCGAGCCTCAGTGAGAACACCATTACTCATTCACTGGAGATTTCAGGCACATCCACCTGATGAGTCGTAAATAGAACGAAATGCTCATCTTCGACGGCTTTCACTGCTAGTCACCATCCACGAATTTACTTAAAGATCATGAATACTTGGTGACACGAAAAATGGTAACGATGAAATTCTAGCGTTCTTTTAAATCTTACGATATTTCTTGAAAAGATATCCCTTCTTCCTGTTGTCTGACTTCTTTGATTATAAGAATTAAAAAACAAAATAACTGAGCGAAGAATATCCTTTCCGATAATTTCCTCTTCTGGCTCTACAATTACATATATTTATATGTTTATATACATAGAATATTCTAGAATTGTAGTCAATAACAACATTGGTCTTTTTAAATAATATCGATTTGTTATGTAAGATCACAATGGAATTACAGCCCACGAAAGATGCATAGATTATATAAAGTATAAAAATGTAATAGTAAAAAATAGAATATCAAATACAAATAAGGAAATTTCCCCCAACAAACTGAAGTTCATTAGAACCTAGATGGCTAAGGTAAGGACAGTGTCCGATTTCTTAACATGGAACCCAACGGCTTCAGCAATATGTAGTAGACGAACTCTTAAGTTGATATTGAGGTTAGTTGGTATGCGGTAGATGACTTTGAAAACCGCCTCTATGACATCAAACAATCTTGTGTTCAGTGTCCACAAGATGAGATAGAATAGAGCTATGAATGGATTTTGTTTGTCTTTTATTTATTTACTTAATTTTCATTACAGCTTGATTCCACACTGTATTTTTGGTACAAGTATGGAATTTTCAGCATGGATATCGGTAGCCCAAATTGTGCAGGCTAACCATAGATATTAGGTGTTCGTCGGCAGGGGATCGAACCTCGGACCATGTGCATGTTCGGCGAGAGTCCTAACCACTATGCCACCAAGTGCCACTTAGATTGATGTTCGGAAATCCGACGATAAGGCCGCCTAATTGTATGGCCTATGTAACTGGCTCAAGAGAAGCAGCCAATTTGTTACAAATTAGTTACTTA